ATGGAAACAGCCCAAGTGCCCATCAACTGGAAACTGGATAAAGAAGTTGTGGTTTTTTTATAAAATGGAGTACTACTCAGCCATAAAGAATGAGAAACGAGAGATATTTATAGCTAAATGGATGCATATTGAGGGCATACTCTTTAAGTGAAATAAATAGGACACATGTGTGTAAATACCAAATAGTTTCTCTAGTGTGAGAAACTGAAAGTGTGAATAAGTATTAAAACAAAATACTTTGGATAGAATAATTATATCCCTGTTGTTATTAGGAAACATTCCCTACAACAGTTACTAATTTATGACATTCTTTGTGTTTTCATCATTGCCTCTTCAGGAATTTCTATCTATAGCTTAATAGAAAGTATAAGAAAATAAGTTTATTTTTCAGTTTTACACTGGGATTAAGGTTAAGTTCATTGGTTTGAGAATTCATCCTTTTGAATTTCTATGTTTTGGAATTTGAGGCCAGCCTGGTCAACTTAATGATAGCATGTCTCAAAGTAAAAGTGAAATTAAAAAGTGCTGGGGATATAGCTCAGTGGTAGAATGCTTCTCTAGCATGCCTAAGGTCCTGGCTTTGACCTCCAGTACTTAAAAAAAAAAAAAAAAGGTGAAGGTATTTTGTATTATTGGTTCATATAACTTCAAACAACTATATAAAAATATTAAGATAATTACATTAATTCTAATAATTGGAAAGCTAATACAGAGAGCCTGTATTAAATGAAAACTTATAAGGAGAAAAATTCCACTCAATTGGAAAAATAAGGCGTGGGAGGAGAGGTACAATTTGAGAGTTTTATAATATATAACCAGACTTTGGATATGAAAGATATGAGTTATCTTAAAATATATACAGGCAAATAACTAGATCACTGACTATAGAAACATTAACTAAACAGTACCTTGTTTTCCAATGTAATCTCCTTAACTGCTTCAGTTATTCCTGCAATACCTGTTTAGAAATTCAACAGAAAATAACTAAAATTAAGCTGTGATTAGTCTACTTACTTGAATAATGCAACTTAAAATCATCTAAATCCTCACAACTTCTCTGAAGTAAAGAGATAAATACTAACAAAACCTTTACAAATAAACTCCAATAGGAACAGATAGACCAGGGGCCGGGGATTTAGATCAGTGGTTTCGCCACCTGCTGCGCAAGCGCAAGGACCTGAGTTCAATCCCCAGTACCAAAAAAAAAAAAAAAAAACACACTGTGAGGAACAGATAGCCCAAGGGGTACATCTTCAAGCTCAAACAAACATACTAACTTAATATTTTACCATGAATTATCCTACTCTATCATTCCCTATTTTCTATCCCTTGCTTGTAGCACAATACATTCTAAGAAAACAAACACATTCAAACATTATGGTACTCATTTAATTAAACCTGTATCAAAATTTTCTCAACTAGATTTTGGTATGTAAATATGCTATTTGCTTCAGAAATCTAAGACATCCAAAGGTACTAACACAGTAACACATTTATATGGGGCATACTACTTACTGTTTCCACATCTTATTTAATCTTTCCAAACACTATCCTGTGAAGCGGTTAAGAGTAATAATTTCTCCCTATGTAGAAATGAAGTCACCAGAGATGGAAAATGACCTATTTGAGTTTCATATCCAGTTATGAAGAAATTAAGATTAAAATCCTTATAAGCTGACCTTTGGTTCAATGATTTCCCACTGCTCTTCAATGAACAAATTCCATAGAAATGACATGCCTGAAGTAAACTATCAGGGGCTGGGGATTTAGCTCAGTGGCGCTGCGCAAGCGCAAAGTCCTCAGTTTGAGCCCCAGTACCAGAAAAAAAAAACAAAACACTATTATGAAAGTGGAAGCACCACCGGTCAGCTAGAAAATATTTCCATGTAAAAATATCTTGTCAGTGTTCTCAGTTTAACAAGGAAGAAAAATTCAACAAGACAAAAGTAGCTAACGTTACTACAGGAAAAAAAAAATACAAAATATGCTTAGTCTCAATATGCCAATTATATTTTATTGATCTTTTAAAACTTTGATATATAGGTCTAACATGCCTAAAACAAAAATAAACAGCATATGCAGGCATACACTTATGCCTTAAATTTAGTTCATATAACAAATATTTATTGAACTTCTATATCAAACACTATGATAGATATTGAAGATTCGAGAATACATCTCTATTTTCATGGAGCTTATAGCTTAAAATTTCTTACAGTAATTTTTCAATAAATAATTATTAAATACACATAGTTTCCAGTTTCTGGGTAAAGTAAAATTATCTCACAGTTTCTGTCACAGAGGAGCTCATAACTCAGCAATGGAATGACATATAAGGAAGATTCTAAAGTATAGTATGCACAATCAGTATTTTTATTGGCTTTACTTTTTCTTCTCTTTAGAAATAATGACAATCATATAGTTATTTTCAAATTGTCATTGAAGCAGCCAGTTCTATAAAAATTTAGTATACACCAAAGGCTCTTTTCAAGTTGTCCTCTTAGGGCCGGGGGTTTAGCTCAGTGGTTCTGGCGCCTGCCTCGCAAGCGCAAGTTCAATGTCCGGTACGAAAAAAAAATAAGAGATCTGATCAATCTGTCCTCTTATTTCTTTCAGATAAAAGTCTACTGGGACAAAACAGTGCCTTATCTTTTTTTTTTTAATCAAGAATGTTACAAAAGACTGAAAGAGTTTAAAACAATTTATACTAAATATATGTCATTCCAGTCTCCTCTTACCTGTGTTGTGATATGTATCTACCCATCCCCCATCACCATCATCTTCTTCAATGATAGCTTCCAATTCATCTGAATATTCCATCTGTTTGCAACGTTTGTAGCATGGCACTATTAAAAAAATGGCAAACTCAGTTATTAGTATATAATCTACTAATCATAAATCCATCAGAAGAAAGTTTATTTCATAAAATATTTACACTACCAAAATGTTAAATGACTGTATTTCACTTGTAAGAGTTATATTCAGGCCACAGACACATATTTAGCTATATTAATCTTTCCCTAAATTGCTTTGGCAGAAGACAAAGACTTTGGTGTGAGTTTTCTGTGTATTCCTTTACCATAGTCTGTGATGAACAGCAGGCTAACGGCAGATGACATTATTCAATTCAAGCAAACCAATACCTTAAATCACCACTTTACTCTCAGAACATGGAAGTACCACCTGTCATACATACTGAGAAGTGGTGATCTCTGGATACAAGGCTGAAATAAATTCAGTATGAATTTTATAAGTCATATTTAAATTTCAGTTATTCACGATGGATAAAAATACTTTAAAATTCAACAAACTGCTAAATTTTATTTCCTTATACAACCACTGCAGCCAAATTTTATATAAAACAAAACTATTAATTAACAAATATTATTATTCATAATTCTAAAACTGAGCAATTATAAAGTAAAAATATAATGTTGGGTCAAGTTGCTATTAATCTCCTGCTTTTTTGAACAGTTTTTTGTAAGAAAAAAATTGCTATTTTTCAACATATTATCTTCCTTTTACTATATGAGGTAAATTAGAACAGAAATCAATGTATTGTTATGTGAATTAAGGATTATTGCAACCTTTTGATGTTCTTTTAAAATTCACTTCATAAATATATATTTCAAAACATTTTTTGTGCCTTAGGAAATCCTTCAATGGCACAATGAATAATAAAATCGAGATGTCAAGGTAGTATCAATTTCATTTTCCATAAAAAATTCACATTGAAAGATTAAAATCGTTCCAATTTCAGTACATGTGCTGCCAAAGCAAGCACGAAAGACTAAAATCAAATAGGTAAAAAAATGATTATGAAGTCAACTTCAAAAAAAAACCCACAAAAAACCTTTTAGGAGAAATCTAACTTTCCTTAGGGCCTTCTTTTATATCTTGACAACTGAATCTTTTTGGCCAAAACAAAAAGTTAAAGAAGAGAAGATACAAATCAAAGAAGAAAACGAATACTACAGAAATAGAAAACACAGAATTTCATTAAATTTCCAACTTTCTGGGAGAAGCATTAAGAACATCAGACAAAAATTACGATCAGTAAGGATAAGCAGTTTTTTGATGTTGCTTTTAATGTAACTGCAAAATTTACTAATATATACAATAGAATTCTTACCATTTTTGGTTACCAAAAATTGTTTGCCTGTTGGTAGGTATGCTTTCACTTTTAATTCTTCCCCTGTAGCCCTTTAAAAACAGGAAAAAGTACCAAAATACAAATATATTTAAAAGTCAAATATGGGGGATTTCACATGTAAATCTCAAAACTATAAAATATATTAATCCTAAGAAAATTGCTTTAAGATTGGTTGGAGAATATGCCATTATTGATATATATATTACAGAAAAGCACGAAGATAATATAAGTGAAATATACTCAAGAGATCCAGACAAAAAATCCTAGGGTAATAGATTAAGCAACTAGTATGTCTGCCTCTAAAGAAAAAGAAAGTGCTACTCCTTAGTGTAGCTTTTTTAATCTCAGATTTTTAATCCTAATGTATTACTGATCTTAGATTTTTTAATCCTAATGTAGTATTCATCTTGATAGGCAAAATAAACCCCCAAAACTATATGACATTACATAACAAAGCAGGGGGTTGGCAAGATCCCCATTCCTACCACTATTAAAACTGGAACTAAAAAAATCCTTTGACTCACAAGATGATAATGCTTAAAACAAAACCATTTTATCAGATGCTCATGAACAACAGGATGCAGAACTCTAATATGCATTACTATCACTTCTAAAAGGCAGATAATATTAATATTCCCATTTTATAGGTAAGTAAACTAAAGCTTAAAGGGTCAGGATGCCTGCAGATACAAAACTAGGTTAGGAGAATCAGGATCAAGCCAAGTGAGCCCAGAGCTCTTCTGTATGTGTGTGTGTATAGTAACGAGGATTGAACCTAGGGCCTTAACCACACCAGGGAAGCACTCCACAGCTGGGCTATATACATCCCCCCTACCTTTTAAATTTTATTTTAAGACAAGATCTCACTAACTCTCCCAGGCTAGCTTCTAGCTTGTGAACCTTCCTGCCTCAGCCCCTAAGTAGCTGGATTATAGGGATAAGCCACCACATCTGGTTTTAGGGATCCTGGTCTTAAACTCTGTGGATGAGAACCAACTGTAACATTTCTAAGCTATTATACCATCTCACAATAAGAATCTGTTCAAACATCCTTCTGTGGGCTATCTAGAACACTTGACCAAAATAGTGGTGGGATGTGGTGTCTTTCACAAACAAATGAGCATAAAGATGGAATGCTACTGCCTTTTCAAGCTTTAGTTTGACTTTCAAACTATACATTGTACCACAAAATATATCCATGGAAGGGCTGGGGATTTAGCTCAGTGGTTCTGCTGCCCACTGCTCAAGCACAAGGATCCGAGTTCGATCCCTGGTACCAGAAACAAAAAAAACAAAAAAACATATATCCATGGAATGCCCTAATATCATCTGACAGCCTTCTAGGCTTCTTTTAGCAAATCTCAAGTGTCAAATTCAACAACATGATGGCAATTCCTGAAGTTCTAAGAGAAATGAAAAAAAGGTTATGATAGCACTTGTCTACATAAAGGTTACTAACATGGAAATAATCTGTTTCTTGCATTGATTTAAAATTAATTACTCCTTTGGACCCAGCAACTCAGGCAGAAGTGTGGACAATGGAGTACAATATGTTACAAAAAACTCTTTCACCAATCAGGATTTATAAAACAAAACTCTAAACACTTGCTGTAAGATGATCTTGCCTATATATACAAACTCTTCTAACAATACTATAAACCATATACTTAAACTTTTTAGACAGCTTAAAAGCTACCACAAAGAAATCTCAATAAGGAAAATGAGTATCTACCATATTGAAGAAAATCCTAAATCAGCTCTTTTCACAAAAACCACTATTATAACAAATTCTATACCTATTTGACTTCAAATATATACAAATTATAGGCCAGAACCTGGTTTGAACAGAAAATTTAGAATGGGGGTTGGGCATCTTTACTAAATCAGAGAGATTCTATGATATGAACTTAATTTTTAAAAATCTGGAACAGGGCCAGGGATTTAGCTCAGTGGTGCTGCAGCCTGCCTCACAAGCATAAGGTCCTGGGTTCGATCCCTGGTACAAAAAAAAAAAAAAAATCTGGAACAGAAATAAAAAGAAAAAAAGATAAAAATAAATGAACCTCATATTTTGGCTTTTCTTGACAAATAATGTCCTATAAGATAAAGAGCAAGTGATAAGAAGCAGAGACAACTATTTCAGGTACATAACAGACATAAAAATGGAGAATAAAACAGACCCCAAAAGAGAGTTCCAGTTCTGGTTTAAAATACTAAGTTCTTTAGATATTAAGAAAAATATTATCAATTAAAACTTTTTAAATGCTAGAAACCTTGCTCCTAATCAAACTGTACGTTTTAATTACAGATGACAATGTCATTAAGAAAAAAAAACTTGCCTGCCATGGTGCATGCCTGCAATTCCAGCTACTCAGCAGGCCGATAGCAAGTTTCTGGGCATCTTAGCAAGGTCCAGTCTCAAAAGAGAAAAGGCTGGGAACGTACCTTAGTCTTCCCTGGGTTCAATCATCAGAACCATACATAAAAGCTTTAAAAAGATGTATCAAGTTGAAGCAGCCAAACAAGTTGATAAATTCCCAACAGTTCTGCCACTATTAGGATTACTTTTTCAGAAAGTTTTTAACATTAGTATTTGAAAATAATAAAAATGTGTTTGTTTCAAAACATTGCTATTATTCATATTTTAAAATATATATTACTTTAGTAATTAAAAAATTAATGTAGAAAATAAAATCTGAAGTCTATTACAAGCAAATTTATAGTTAAGACCTTAATTGGTATCATGAACATTTAAGTTTAGTTAATTATTAAAGAGAGAACATACTTTTCAATCTAAAAAGTCTGTTACAGGTTTTAAAGAAAACATAAAACTTCCCAGAAAATGTATTTGTTGTCATTAAAAATGTTTAATAAACATTTATTTGAAAAAAGAAAGTTATCAAATTCATTAAACTTCTGAATGTTATTTTTTTAAGGAACTACAAGATTAGACCTAGAGACTACTAAGGAGATGCTAGCAAAGAAAAAAAAAGAATTTATCTCAAACATGTACATCTTTAGTGCTAATAAGAATAAAGTTAGACATAATGCCCACTTTTTTTCCCTTTAAGTATCACTGGGGTAGTATTTAATAGAAAAATCTACCAAAGAAAGTTCACTGAATTTATTACTGTAATGCCCGGCATGGTGGTGCACACCTGTAATACCAGCACTCGAGAGGCTGAGGCTGGAGGATCACTGTGAGTTCAAAGCTAGCCTGGACTACACAGTGAGTTCAAGGCCAGCCTAAACTGCATAGTGAGACACTGTCTCAAAAACACAAAACAAACAAAAAAATTTGTCGTTATAATTTTCATGCAATAACCTATATGCAAATTACCATAATTTTAAAGCTTTTTTACCTTTTATTTAGGCTTACTTACCATTGCCATGTTGGGCAGTGGTGGACTAAGTGATCTCCAGCTGCCACAAACTTTAGGATTTGGATAGAATAAAAAGAGGGAAAAGAAAAATTAAACAATACCGAATGCAGGCTGGCAAAATGTCAAACTGATTGCCTTGGGTAACCTTTATACCTAATAATTAAAATGCAAACCAAACCTGCTCTATCAACCTGAAGATCTATTTTTGATTATCATTAAACTGTAAGAGTTTTAAACATTTATGAAAAGTGAAATTCATTTCGAAAGAAAAAGCAGAGTGCTATTTTTAATTCAACTTTATCATCTGACTACATAATGTCCAAAACATACAATATCATTAAAATAATAAGGGTAAGGCTACAGAATCTAAGATGTCAAGATCCATTTTATGGATAAATAAAATATACAGAGAATTGTGCTAGCAAATGAAAACTCAACTAAAGTCTTTGAAAATATTAGTAATAGATACTAGTCTATGACGTAAATCTCTATCACATCACATCAGTATAAGGGTTTTTTTTTCCCCAGTGCTGGGGACTGAACCCAGGACCTTGTTGCACGCTAGGAAAGCACTCTACCATTGAGTTACATACCCAGTGTTGTATTTTATTTGTTTCATTTAAGTAATGGCCAGTTTTGAAAGCTTTATCACACTCTTAAAGGAATCATTAATAAGACAAATGTAGTACCCAACAACAGGAAAAAGAACTTTGGGACTGACGAAATTAAGAAATTGATTCTTCTAACCACCTTGGGCTTTCTGGGCAGACTGAAAGTTATACAAGCTTTTGGATTTCTTTAGCAATAAAAAGACTCATTGAGAAGCAGTTTAATCTTTTGAAAATTTCTAGCTTACATGGACATAACATGATCTTACTGAAGGACAGAATTCCTCCTCATTTTTAAGAAGAGAAAGTGAAAGTCTGTTAAGCATAATGAGTGTTCCAACTGAAGCAAGATGTGCACATACCTTCCCAATTGCCTCTATTTCACAACAGCTCTACCTTAAAATCTTGTATTGTATTGGGGTTAATTACACAGCGAAAGAAGTACAATTCATTTAGTCTTTTAATGTCTGAGAAAGTATGCTCACATAAAATACTATACTTTGAGAAAATAAAATTTTATCAAATAAGAATTCTGAGGATAGCCTCTTTTAAGATCGTACATCATCAAAGATACAGCAACTGTATTCCCAACAGAAAATACAGAAATGTTTCTGTTCTTTCATTTTTAAAATATCTTTATTATTTAAACTTATTAAGACAAAAAAAAGAAATGAAAACAGTAATTTCTACTTCAAGTTTTAAGTATTTTGGGGGTCACTGGAACCAAACTACTTTTAGCTTTGTGGTTATTGGGAACTAATTTATCACCATCAAAAGTAATAACAGGGCCAGGGATTTAGCTCAGTGGCACTGCGCCTGCCAGGCAGGCACAAGATTTGAGTTTACCAAAAAA